CTCCACGTTCGGCAGCCCTTCATGTGCCGATTCTTCTGCCGAGTCGGCCGCCGCCGTTGCCCCCGCCGCCCCGTCTCTCTCCGGGCACCCGGCCTCAATCGCCGCTGACAGCACCATGGCCAAGCCCAATGGTCTGGCCTCATCGGCGCCAGCTGCCGCGGGTGAGGACTTCAACCTCAGCGAGTTTGATGAGTCCCTCTTGATGGTCAGCGCCGCCTTTGCCACGCTCAGCTCCCTGGACCTTCCGACCGAATCCGAGCCCAAGCCCGAGCCCGAGCCGCCTGCCGTCGCCACAGCCGCCCTTCCCGCGGTGGCTCCGGCCCCGGCCCCGGCCCCGGCCCCGGCCCCGGTGCCCATTCTGGCTCCCGTGTCGACGCCCTATGTTGCCACCCTCTCACCATGCTCCCCTTCGGTGGCCGAGATTGACATCGACGAGCTCCTGGCCTCATATGGCGTCGGCACCGGGCCGGACCCCATTCCCCCGGTGGACCCCCAGTTCGCGGCCATGCTGGTCGATGGGCTGATCTCCGGCAGCCAATCCGGCAACTCCTCGCCGGCCACTTCCCTGTTCGGCTCGGCCGCCACCTCCGCTCCCTCCATCACCACGGCTTCTGCCATGGATTTCGGCTCGATGTCGGACATCGAATTCAGCCCCTCGGATCCTGTGTTCGGCGACTCTGCCGCCCCTGAGCCCCCCTCCCCGAAGCCGACGCCCTCGGTTGCTGCCTCTCGCAGCCTGGATGATGTTCTCGCGGAACTCCTGTCGGCTGAGTCCATCGAATCCTTCGATTCCATCGCGTCTACGGCCTCAGGTGCTCCGACCAGCACCGATCCGGTGGTGGCCGCCTCGGAGGCCCCCCCTGCCACCTTGGGCACATCCACCCCCGCCGAGGCAAGTGTCCCCGCCCCTTCGGAGGTCACCGGCCCCACTCGACCGGCCACTTCCACCTCGTCCGACGCCTCTCCCGCCAATCCGACCACTGGCGATCATCCCGGCGAGCCGCGCAAGAAAAAGACCTCGGCCGAGGTTCTCCAGGGCCGATTGGTTGTTCAGGCCCTGTACGACTACGCCGGCAGCAGCATGGACCCGGTGAAGCGTCGGGCCTCCTCGGCGACCCCTCAAACCCGCGGCCTGGATCTCATCCGGGGGGAGTTCTACCTTGTCCTACGAAAGGCCTCCTCCGGCTGGTGGGAGGGTGTGCCACTCGGGGCCTCGCACACGGCCCCGGCTCCGGCCCCGGCTGATATTGCCATCCTCAAGGGGTGGTTTCCTTCGAACTTCATCCGCGTCATCTCCGACGAGCCGGCCCCGGAGAAGCTCGACACTCCGGTGTCCCCGGTCGAGTCGTCGACTCCCCCAACCACGGTGGCTGTCACTCCGGCCGGCGCTTCCACCGCTGCACAGGCCACCTCGACCGAGCCCCCAGGCACCTCGGCTGTTGCTCCACCCGGCCACGCCATCTCTCCCTTCTTCACGCCAGCTCCCACCGCCACCGCCACCGCCACCGCCACCGCCACCGCCACCGCCAATGGCGCGGTTGCCCTTTCTTCTTCCGAGTCGCCGGTCTCCGGGCTGGCGCCCGCCCTGGCGGCTGGGCTCCTCTCGCCGCCTTCCTCCTCGCCAAACCCCTATGAGGGGGGCCGGTCCGGCTCGGTCACTTCCACCTCCTCGGGGTCGCCTCTGGCCGGTCCAACCCCTCCCGTTGGACCGGGCCCCGTGTCGGCCTTCCGTGACGAGGGGGCCCGCCGGGGCAGCGACAGCACCATTGTGGGTCGGGCTCCTGACGGCGCGGCCGACCAGTCTGGCGGTGTGGCGGCGGGTCTGAGCATCGGTGCTGCTCCGGCAGCCGGCTTGCGTCCGCGTGCCGTGTCGCACTGTGCCGGGCCAGGCCGCGTTGGCATCATGCCCACGGCCTTCTCACACTATCAGTCGCCACCGAGCATCCCCTCGTCCCTGGGTGCATCGGCCACCGGCGCCGGGGCGGCCAGTGTTGGCCACAGCGCCGTCAACAGTGCCGGCAGTAGCCCAGTCCCGATGACCACCAGCCCGGGGCTACAGCCTGGCAGCCCGACTGGCCTGGGGTTCCTGGCCGGTGGCTCCGGGCCGCGTGGGCTCTTCCTGTCGAACTTCTCCAACTTGCCGCCGCCGCCGCCCAAGCCGGATGCTGTCACCGCGTCGGCCCCGGTCAGCGCACATTCCACCCCATCGGTGTCGCTCCCGCCGCCGCCGCCGGCCCCGGGCACCGTGCGTCCTGGTGTCACCGGGGCCGGCATGGCTGGCTCCCAGAATTGGACCACCGACACGGGACACCGGCGCCAGCGGTCGCACTCATCCTCGGCCGCAGCCAGCGCTTCCGGAAGCCAGCCCTTCTCGGCCCTGTCGGCCGAGCTGGCGACCACCCCTCAGGGCATCGAGTCATCTCCCCCGGACGCTGCCACTGGCCAGGCCATTGACCTGCCCACCGGCCGGGTATATTACTATCATGAGCTGAGCAACGACACGGCCTGGCAGCTGCGACTCCTCCGGGCACAGCCCATCCCCCCGACATCCTTCGAGGACCCGCCCAGCCTGGCCTCCATCATCGAGGAGGGGGGCTTGCACTTGGTGGTCAGCCCGGATTCCGCATGGGGCATGCTCCTGTCAGACATCTCGGCGGCTTTCACCTCGGCAGTTGGCTGTTTGATCCCCTCGGCTCCTGGACAGGCCGACCGCATCCGCCTCCTGAAGCATGTGCTGCTCATCTTCAACCTCGTGCGCGGGCTCTTCCTCGGTGCGGCCAGAATCCCCCTCTTGATCTCGCGTGTTTTTCATTCCCCCCCCTCCCCCCCCCTCCCTCCCTCTCCCCTTCTGCCAAACTCACCCTCTTCAATGTGAAGCCTCCAACACACATTCGCTCAAATCCCCGGTCTTCGAAATTGTTCCCGACCTGCTGGAGAGCCATCGCCAACTGTGCGGGCTTCTGTGTCAGATGATCCTCGCGGCGCGCCTTACCTGTCGGGTTTGGCCATCGCCGGACTCGCACACCACCCTCTTCCATGCCCTCTGCGCCACTTTGCGCCAAGTTCGCCAGTATGTGCGCCTGTGTGCCATGGTGGACTTGCCCCTGGCGGATTGCGCCCCAACCAGCGGCCCCAGTCCAAGCTCCAACCCCGGTGCCCCGGGCTCGCAGCAGGTCATCTTGTCGGCCGACGAGACGGCCCTCATCCGGGACCTCCGCCGGGCGGCCACTCTTCCCATGACTCTGTCATACGATCAGATGGGGCGTGGGCTGCTTGGCACGCCGACCAGGCAATTCGGCCGGCCGGTCCCTGGGCCAGCTTCACCCGGTTCGCCGGCCTCCTTCCCTCCTTCCAATTCTCTCTCAGTCTTGAGCCAGGGGATCGAGGCGTCCGCCGTGTCTTCCATTTTGCAATTGGACAACCTCTTCTTCATCCTGATGGACTTCGCCTCGCAGGTCCAGGAGATCTTCCTCCGGCGACTGGAGTCCTCCGAGGCCGGCGACTCGGCTGCCGATGCGCCTCTCTCTGCCGTGGACCTGCAGCTGCTGGCCGACATTGAGCTGGTTCTCAATCGGTCGCTCGAGCTCAGTGGGCGTCTGCATGACTCTCTCCCTCCGCAGTTGCTGGATGTCAAGTCCTTTGCCCTTCTGAGCAAGCTCCGCGAGCAGTGTGACAGCTTGCGCAATTCGCTTGTCGACTTCCCGGCTCTCCTTCGCACGGCCGAGCTCTTCTCTGAGGTACGGGCCGACCACCAGCCGGCTGGCCGGGTGGCCAGTGTCAGACACACACACACACATGCATCCCCACGTTCATCCGAACATGCCTTCTTCGTCCGCCCCCTTCCGCTCTCTCTTTTTCTCTCTCTCCCCTTCTCTCATCCCCACTGTCAGCCTGTCGCCAGTGCTGCACACATACTGACGCTCAGCCCCTTCACCTATGCCCCCCCCCCCCCCTTCCCCTGTCTCCCTGTCTCCCCCTCCCGCAGTTCTCCTCCTGCATGAATCGCACCATTCGCACTCTGCAGTCTCTGCTGTCCATTACCAAGGCCTGTGTGCACCGCTTCGAAACTGATCGCCTGCAGGAAATGATTTACGTGGTGCAACTCCGCGCCCAGGATACCAACCCGCCGACCGAGAGCAACTTCTCCAGCTGGCTGCTGGTCGGATCGCTGGTGTTTGCCGGGGACGACCCGAAATCCCGAAAGCGCCAGCTTGTCAGCCTTCGGCAGCTGTATGAGCACCATCGAGGTGCCACCTCCGGCTTGGCCCTCCCGCCCTCGCTGTCGGATCCGGATGTCACGCGCGCCGACTCATCGCTCCACCTGCCCTCTTCGCTCTTCAAGGACCGGGCCCTGTCAATTGCTGGTCCTCCGGGCCAGTCAGCACGCTTCAGCTCGGTGGCTCGTGGCCGCAATGGCACCGGCGGCCCCCTCCTGACAACGCTCACAAGCAGCGGCTCCACCGGGTCCCCCGGGTCCATGGGATCGCCGCTGGCCACTGCCCACTCGACTGGGGTGCTGACCCACGGGGTTTTCAGCGGGTCCACGCATTCCCTGCCGGGGGTTCTGGAACTCGGCACCAGTGCCGGGTCTCTCGGGTCTTCCGGGTTTTCCTCCCTGTCGACTGCCAGTGCCGATGACGCCACCTCCACGGCCAGCTTGACTTCCTCGATCGGCGACACCGGTGACACCGGCGACTTGGGGGACTCGCTCGGCGGGGGCACCGGCGTCATGTCCCCCACAGCCGGGGCCTCCCCCCCGCAGCATCATCCCCTGTGTCCGCACAATCCATCGCACCAGCAGCAGCAGCAGCAGCAGCAGCAGCAGCAGCAGCAGCCGCCGTCGCAGCTACACAGCCGCTGTCCCTCGGACCCGCCGTCGCACTCTTCCTCGACCACCTCGTCCGGGTCTCCCTCCCCCCCGCCGCCGGCTACCTCCGGCGATGGGGGGATTGCCCCCTCGGCGTTGGCCGGGTCGCCGGCACCACATGACTTCGGGGTTCTGGCCGGTGCCAGTGGGCTGTCGCGGTCCAGCAGCACCCGGCGCGGGGGCTCCAGCCGCCGGCGCTTCCACAGCCTATTCCGTGGGGACGACGATGGGCCGACAATCAACCCCGACGTGGCGGCCCTCTCCGGCAGCAGCGTGTCCTCCTCCTCGGCCACATCGCCAACTGCCTGTCCTGTGTGCCCGGCCTGCTCGTCGGCGTCGTCGGATGGTGGGACTCTCCCTGCCCACTCCCAGTTCCCTTCGGGCGATGGAGCTTCCACCACCGACTCCGGCGACCCGCCAGCCAACTGGTTCCTCGGCCCGGATTACGATCCGGCCGACCTGGTTCTCAATGCCGAGGGCCGTGTGCGCGGTGGCACCCGCGAGGCTCTCATCATTCGCATGACCCTGCACGACGCCCCGGACACCGACATGGTTCAGTCCTTCCTGCTGACTTACCGCACATTCATGTCGGCCACCGATCTCCTGGATTTGCTGATTGAGCGGTATAAGATTTCCATCCCCCCACAGTTGACCCCCGAGGAGAGCGCCCTCTTTGTCAGCCGCAAGCAGACACCCATCCGACTGCGGTGCGCCATCTCACGCTGCCTGTTGCTTGTCCTTTTTCTTGCTCTTCTTCCCTTTGGCTATGTCTCCTCTTCTTTCGGTCTTTTTTTTCCTCGCCCATTCCCCCTGTTCCCCCTCCCTCCCCCCCCTCCCTTGCTCGCTCGTTGCCTATCGACTTGTTCCTAACCGTCCGCTCTCCCATCGACAGCGCCGTCAATGTCATCAAGTCCTGGCTTGACACGTATTACGATGATTTCAGTCCGGCTATGATGGCCGTGTTGGAGGCCTTTGTGGATGATCCGCAGCATGGCTCGCACATTGTCCGCCAGCAGCTCGGCCGCCTTGTCCAGCGAAAGTCACAGACCGGGGACCAGCGCCCGGCTGCGGCTGCGGTGGCCGCCGTCACAGCATCATCCACCTCTGCCCCGGTTGCCGGCCCCAGTGGCGGTGCCTCGGCCACCCTCATCACCGCTCTCTCGTCGTCGTCCTCCTCCTCTTCTTCCGGCAATCGGCCGATCATTGGGTCTTCCTCCGGCATCGGCGGATCATCCAATGATGCGGGATCTCCCCAATCGCGGCAGACCTCGTTCTTCAATTCCTGGCGCATCTCCCGGCGTCGGGACATCGTGGACCTGGACCCGCAGGACATTGCCAACCAGCTGACTCTGCTCGAGTCGATCCTCTTCACCCGCATCAACCCCTTCGAGTTTTTGAACAAGAACTGGTCCAGCGATGTGCGCGATGGGTCGCACAAGGCCCCGAACATTCGGGCCATGATTGCCCAAACCAATCGCATCACCACGTGGGTGGTGTGCACTCTCCTGGCCGAGAAGGATCTTCGCCTGCGCACCGAGTGCCTGAAGTCCTTCATCAAGACGGCGTGTGCTCTTCCGATCTGATGTGCGCGATGGGTCGCACAAGGCCCCGAACATTCGGGCCATGATTGCCCAAACCAATCGCATCACCACGTGGGTGGTGTGCACTCTCCTGGCCGAGAAGGATCTTCGCCTGCGCACCGAGTGCCTGAAGTCCTTCATCAAGACGGCCGAGTGCTGCCTGATGCTGAGCAACTTCAACTCCCTGATGGCCATCCTCGCTGCCCTGGTCAGTGTGCCCATCCACCGGCTGGAGCGCACCTGGAAGTCCCTCCCCAGCAAGGTGACCGAGCGGTACAACCAAATGCGCCAGCTGATGAATTACAACAGCAACTTCAGATCGTACCGCGAGCGCCTGCAACTCCAGTCACCTTGTAAGCCATCCTCGCTGCCCTGGTCAGTGTGCCCATCCACCGGCTGGAGCGCACCTGGAAGTCCCTCCCCAGCAAGGTGACCGAGCGGTACAACCAAATGCGCCAGCTGATGAATTACAACAGCAACTTCCGGAACTACCGCGAGCGCCTGCAGCAGACCCCCCTGCCGTGTGTTCCCTTCCTCGGGGTGTATCTCACCGATTTGACCTTCAACGAGGAGGGCAACGCGGACTTCCTGCGCGAGGGTCCCGACCGGTTGATCAACTTCGACAAGCGCAATCGCACGGCCACCCTCATTCGCGAGCTCCAGCGCTACCAGAGCAAGGGTTACGACATCGATCCCTATGCCGAGGTGCAGCAATTCCTGGAGCGGCGCCTGGAAGCGGCCGGCTCCAACTCCGAAGATCTCTACGAGAAAAGTCTTCGCCTGGAGCCTCGAGAGACCGAGGACATGAAGATCGTCCGCATCCTGGAGGAGAACGACATGGCTTGATCGAAGGGGGCAGACACGGAATCGGGGGCTTCCCATTGCCATTCGGCTGCCCTGCTCGTCCATGCCCCTGCTGTTTGGGCGAGAAAAGGCGAGTCCCTCCGTGCGCCCCCCTCCCCTCCCCCCCCCCCCCTATCCCCCTTATCCCCTGTCCTTGAGTATATATCGCGGGGCGTACACACATGTATGAAACGTGCGCCGCCCCAGCCCCTGAGGCTGGCACATGTCTCTC